CCCCGAGGGGCAGGAACGGATGGAAGTAAGGTAGTGGACGAGCCAAGGAGGGGCGCCCCAAGTGGGGCCGGGGAAGGCAAGAAAAGCCTACCCGGCAACGGACAGGCAAGGGGCGAGTCCTGCAGTAAGGTAGGCAACCGTTAGAGAGGACCGGAGAGACGGATGCGCGGAGAGAGGGGCGCGCACCGGGTAGGCAGAAGACCCAGTCGGATGAGGAGGATTCGCATAGACGAGGCGTAACAACGGCGAAGGAGGTCGCCGCTTCTGTGGAGAAGCAGAGGCTGGGTGGAGGCGAAGGTGAATGGCAAAGTAGCGACGAGCGAAGTTACCTGTGGCACGAGTCGAACTAGAGGCAACGCGGCGGAGTCTTGGGAACGAGGTAGAAAATATGAATGGTAGGTAAGAGAGTCGGCCTGAGGCTGGAGGCTTACGTTTTCTGCTGTCGATGACTGCATTAGGTTATTTTCGTACTCTCTACTCGATTGCCGTGCGAGCGGCCCACCCGCCCTCCCACTAACAGCCAAATGGCTGATCGGAATTGTCTTTGAAGGGTTTGGGTACCGCGGGAGTGTGGTCGCAGACGCAATGGCCTTCCCCACAATAAGTTAGTAGTGAGTACGGATCACGCGATGACGTTTAAGCAATGACGATTCAACCTAATCCACCGCGCAACTATTCTACGGTAAATGCCAGATGCCTATTTTTTTCTTTCCGTGTATGTCCTGAAGTTTACGCCATTCCATGTGACTGACTGAATGATGGTGTAAAGGGCCCTCAACGCGGCACTTTAAACAGCAAGTTCCCGTTCCTCACCAGTCGAATACTCGACATATGGAGGCAAGGCGCCCCTAATCATTTTTTTCTCTCGTCGCATTTTACAATAAGGGCGATAGTGGGCAAGAAAGCCGAAAAAGACCGGTGCATTGTGCTCATATCCTCACAAACTTCACACGAGCGCACACACCCAGGCACACATACGCAAGATGAGCCTTCAAATCTAGGCTGCGACACTGGAGCCAAAGCGTTCTGCCCTACTTGCTTTCTGCTACAAGGAGCCGCTGTTGTACGCCGCGTTTGATTGTCCGCCGCCAATCATGCCCCTGTCATAAAGTCTACCCTCGCCTGATGATTATCGCATCGCGCGCTTCTACTACTACCATTATAACCTACAAGACTTTCAGTTTTTTTTATTGATATTGTTGCCATTTTATTTGGTCACCCGGTGGATTCCAGGTGTTTGGGGCACAGCCATAACGTTCACGCGTATGCGTGTAATTGTTAGGCCTCATTTTGTAATGGTTGTGGGTTCTCAGCCTTCCCTTCAGAGGCACTCCTGCAGGCACTCCTGGACATCCGGCTTAGGATGTTTAGATGACTTGCGTTGCCTGGCCTGGGAGGGTGAGGGTGTCCTTGCTGACCTGACCGTCTAAGGTGCGGTATTATTAATGCATGACCAGCTGGCCAACTGGCTTTGCTCTTCGCGAGCCCACTGTGTTACAGAAGAGCCACGTGGGACACGCCCTGCCCGTCCCCTCCCCTCCACACCCCTCCCCTCCCCGCCCTTCCCTCCCTTCCGAAAACAAGTATTTTTGCTGTGTGTTGCACACTCATGAGCTGCCGTACAATACGGCAGAGAAGACGTCCTTTCATGACCTTGATAAGGAGGGAATTCTCTTACATGACAAGCGCTGACCCCAACTGCCGAAGTTTTATCGACGACTACAGCTTACTACGGTTTCCCTCCACACCGCAGAGCCAACCAGAGACCACATCCCAAACGTACGGGAAAGGGGAGGAGAGATAAGAGGGGGGACTCTCGGGTATTTCCACCAACCACCACCCTAACTACTAACTACTAACTCCTGGGCGAACGAAATTACGTAAAAGGGTAGGTTTTATTTCTGCCCGTTTACAAATATCGATCGAGTTTCAACGATCCCGCCGTACAGGTACGGCAGGGGGTACGGCCCTATGAGGACAACCCATGCCCGCTGCAAATTAAAAAAAAGCAGAATCGCGAATGACTGATACGCGCTCTCAACTCACCCCGTCTAGCAGCAGCATATCCATCTGCCCGATGGGTTTTCGTTGCCCACCACCAAACAACTGTCAGATACAATAATTACAATTATCCAAACCACCCATTATCCTGTCTACACCCCGTCATGTGTGTGTTGCAACTTAAGGCCCATGCTTTGAAAGTCGAATAATAATAATAATAATGGCCGCATAGCCTAATCAGGCGACACGCAAAAGCCGGGGATCTGCGGCAGCTTCCCCGGGGGAGAGAGGACAACATCTTCGACAGGAAAGTGGTATTTTAACACATAAAAACACAAACGCCAAAAGCTCGATGATGGCCGAGCGTATTAACGAACTTATGTTTCTTAGGGCGTTATTATCGATTCAGGGACGCAAGCATATCATGCGCTAATGGGGCCTTATGTGGTGCGAGGGGGGGAGAGCCCCACATTTGCGAATATCGCATACACATGGCACATGACACACACACACACACACACACACAGACACACACACAGACACACACACAGACACACACACACACACAGACATACACACAGACACACACACACACAACACTAAAACCCGCAACACAAGGAATGAACGAACGAACTACAGCACTCAACATGGCGACACACACACACACACATACACACACGCATATACGCAAATGAACATGATTTTAAACAAAAAAACACAAAAAGCTGTACAACACGTAAAATGTAATACCACACCGACTCTTTCATGTGCTGGAAGGGAGGACAGGGGGGTGAGGAGAGGGGGGAGGGGGGAGGGGGAAGGGGGGAAAAGAAGGAAGAAAAGGACCACCCCCATCATCGGCCTCAAATACAAATGTAGCCCAAACGGGAGCTGCATGCCATGAGGGACTGAACGGCGTTGGCCGATACCTTAATTACTAGTTTGCATGAAATCAGGGACGACATCACCATCATGGGCTGCCATTGAGTAGTCATCCGTATGTATATCTGTTTTATGTATCTTCCTGAAGATGAGTACATACATACATACATACATACATACATACATGGGGTCTAATCGACGTGGTGATGGTGGTGGTGGTGATTATGATTATGATGATGAATGTAATGGCGATAATGATGATGATGATGATGATGATGATGATGATGATGATGATGATGATGATGATGATGATGATGACGACGACGACGATGATGGCGATGGTGACGATGATGGGCGATGATGATGATGATGAGGAGGAGGAGGAGGAGGAGGAGATGGAGGAGGAGCGCCACCCAAATGAACGAAATGTGGCTTTGCTAAATCAAAAGCGAAGAACGGGTGAGGTGGTTGGGGAGATGGGGTTGGAGACACCTTTATACATCACATACATACAAGCGTACACCATACATACATATATGTGCAGGGATGTACGACGCGTGTGCACACAACATTCCCAGGCATCGTCCCGGTCCACACAGGTATGTGCACACGCGTCGTACAACGGTGCCAGGCTGATGCCATTGGCGCTATTTTAAAAAAATGTTGTTTTTGCTGCATAATCACATAAACTAAAGAAAAAACACTTTACGACACCGAGGGTGTTACGGCATTTTATTATAACATAAATTTCCCCCCCACGCCGACTAAAACTCTTACTCCCGCCGCCTCAGCAAT